TTCGAGTCGCAACGCGGGACTAATTACCCGCAAACTATTATTACATCCCATTAAACAACTATTCCGACGCAAACTTTCCGTCATCGTTGGAAATTGGAGTGGCACATTAGCCGCTTCACCGAGCTGTTTTGTTTCTATTATCGGGTAACGATCAATCGTTCCTTCCCAACGAGTTGGGAACGTTTAAACGTTTGTCTAGGATACATGTATTCCCGTCGCTTCTCGGCGTAGTGTAGCGCGCAATGCGACAGTCAATCGGATCGGGATTTTTGTTTTCGACGGATCCGCACGTGCGAGCATCACTGATAAACATTTTGTGCGATTTACGTTCGCTCGGAAGTAATAAAAGTGAACGAGAAGCGCGTCAGTTGTCAATATCGCAAGTTGCCTGCGAAGTCGCGAATTTGCTTGGAAATTCGTTCTGTAAGTTGAAAGCAAATATATTTCAACGTCGAACACGTCTACTACAGTCTTTATTACGCGAGCGATTAGGAATCTCACATTCTTCTACCGAACTTTCAGTCAGCCCCCATTCACTCCGTCGCGTTGACCTCACGGAGATTTCATCGGAGACTTGACCGCGGAACTATCACACACGGAAAAAAGGAATTAGTTGTCCGTATGATACAACGAAAATTTCGTTACCAGACGTAGACTTTAGCTGTGGGAGCTAAAAACTAGATACAGGAATGGAAATATTAATTAAATCAACTAAGTTTCGGTTGTGTATCATGGATAGTTAATTTTTACCTAAGGAAGCTAGTTTTTAGCTGTGGGGTAGCTAATCTTTTTCCATACATATGTTATTGAGAAAGTGTAGGTAAACATGGAATATTCTAAGCTTTTTTTAAAGATAGATTTTGGAAAGACAAAATGTAGGATAAGTCGTGTAATGCGAAATATTTTCTTAAACTTGCAAAAAAATAATTTTTCTCGTATTTCTCGCATATTAATCATCAAATAGTCTATAATAATTATTATATATATATATATATATATATATATATAATATCGTCTATTATAAATATATCTTTATATTTTCTCTTATAATAATGTTATAATATATATTTATATATATAACATCATATTAGTTTCATCCCACTGCTTACGTCATTTAACGATGTCCCCTACATGTTTCTTTGGCATCCTGCGAGCAAGAAACAATAGAGTATAATATAAACAAAAAGCGGTAAGTAATATAGATTATTCTGCATTCCACCGACATCGCCATTTTCACCTTTCCATCATATACAAAGGAAGTGTACACCATATGACACTTGTTAATGAGTAGACTACGCTAAAACTTAATCACAGTTTCACATATAACGAAAAGCGACTAAGAATCTGTGAAGTAGATTGACTGTGAAACAAAAGTTGGTAAACTTATCTCACAAGTACAGCAAGTAGCGATATACCGAAGATGAAAATATCCAAAACTAAAATCGCACATTCTACACGAGACTTCGTACTACACTGGTACTTCGTGCGTTAAGCTAGGAGTCCAGCAGCTAAGAATTCCAATGCTGTCCGCTGGGTTGCAATACTTAATAGGCTAGATATCGCGATTTCGGATTACCCGAGTACTCCCATATTACCCTCACTTCCTCTACGTGAGAAAAAACGCAGGAGCGTCCCGCTCGTCGTATTTTCCTCGCGATGTGGGAAAGGTCTCGGAGAGAGCGTCTTCTCGCGCATCTTAAACACCCGGCGATCGTTTCCACGCTTAAAGACCGTCTCTCGCCTTGAGCGGAGATTCGGGGGATGTTTGGCGAGGACGACGGAGGGTGACTCGGCCGAGCGGACCGAGCGAAGCGTCGCGGGGGGCGGCTGGCGGGAGCAGAGAGGAGCGGGGCTCCGGGGAGGACGAGGGTGCCGCGACGTCGTGCGCCGGGGTTGCACAGGATGGGATTTAATCTGTGTCCCGTTTCACGCTCAGCCAAGTGGAACCTTTTTGCCTCACTTTGCGGCGCGACTCGCTTTTGCGCCGCACCGCCGCGTAGATTAACGCGAAATTATATATAAAGAATGTGTGCGGCCGGCGGGTGTATGCACGGCTCGACGGCGTCGGGCTCGCACGATATTCGAGCCCTCCGAGCTGTCTCCCTGCTCGTCGGTCTCCCCCCCTGTCGTCCACCTCCTCCTTCCCCCGCGGGGAGGACGACGTGAGACGAAAGACGTGGAACGAAAGGGGTGAATTTCGCGCGTATACGTGTACAGCTAAGTCGTGCACACTTGCCACCCTTTGTAACGAATTAAACTCGTGAAAAACAGCGCGGACTTGTGCGCGCGCGCCGTCCCTTCAAAGGACGAGGCTGTCGAGCTCCGCGGCGGCGCGTCCTCGCTTTGACCACCGCCTATTTTTAACGCAAAGCCGCTCGGCCGGAAGGATGAAGCGATTCGAAAGAGCGCAAAACGTCTTTCGATCCCCGTGAAGTGTGAGTTAGGTGCCTTTTTAATTAAGAACGCGAGAATTATATGTTGATAATTAATCGAGAGATCGTCGCGAGAGAAGTGGCTTTTCTCCTTTTCCTCTCTCTCTCACATACACACAGTCTCTATCTTCTCTATCTTCCTCTGGTATGTCATCGAATGATAAGTGCGGGTAATATTGAAACGATCGATCGCGTGTACGAGAAAAAGTAGAAATAAACAACGATGGTGTTTGCTTAGAGATCCATTCCTCATAGCCGGTTTTCGACGCGATACATGTTCGAGCAAATTATAATTCAGAATATCTTTCCCGTCGCGCGTGCTAAGTACGATAGCGCGATCCTATTCGCGGATCTACGTGCTCTTATTAATTCGAGCAACGGATGAATATTCATTAGGCGCCGGTACGAAAGAAGTTACGACGAACGTCGCTCTAATTGCTCCGAAGAAAATGTCTCGTCTTTATCGTTACCCGTTTTATCTTACGCCGTGCGCATAATCAAAGGGACTCACCGGGGGCGGGAAAACGGTGACAAGGCTGCGATCGGCAGGTCGATAGATCGTCGATCAGATCTATGCGCACGGAATCACCGTCGCGCTTTATTGTATCCTGCCATTCGTAACGTGCAGCCGTGAACACAATCAGCCGACGCGTCAAATTTGCCGATATTTTTTCAAACGCGTCACGCGGAATATCTACCGATGCGTTTCAAAACGTTCACCATTATTTCACTGGAATGTACGGAATTAAATATGGCCGCGAAACCACGCTCCGCAAAAAATATTCTACCTGTAACCTGTCTCCCCCCTTCTTTCTCTCTCCACGTATACACGAGTCGCAGAATCCGGAATTGCTTCCGCGATAAAACGGAAAAAGTAAGAAGTACCTCCTCGAAAATTTCCGCGGCGCCTCGTCGCGGAATTATTTGTAACAAGACTCTCGACTCCAATTTCTCGCTCCTCGTTCTCCCCATTCACCGTCGTATTCCATCCCCTGTTATTCCTTTCACCGTGCTCGGGATTCGCTTAAAAAGCCCCGGCTATAATGCGAGGGCGGTTGAAGCCGGAGGAAGCCTTTTGCGATAGGCGCGCGGAATCGTAGGCGAACGTATCGTGCCGGCGCGGAATAGTCGCGAATGAGAGAAGTGCTTCTCGGAAGCGCGGATCTATCTGGGAATCGGTGAAATTCAAGGTACGCTCTTATTTTTATCAAGAATCCCGCGAAATCATTACACTTTGAGACATCCTAAGTTATACCTAAGAGGAGGGATATCTGAGAGGAAATATTTTTGTCACTCGATCACATCTTTATTAACGTGTACGCCTTACTTTTAACGACAATATTATCGTACTGCATTCACGGCGTCATAAAGCCACTATCTGCTCTCTTCTATAATTTGCAATAATTACCTATAATTACCTTTCGAAAAATTGCACTACGCGTCCTTGACACTTTCCGGCGAGTGATCGCGAAATATGCGCCGGATTTTCAATCCTTTCGCGTCAGCGGGAACGAGACACGATAGAAGTGGCGGAAGGAAGCGCGAGGATGAGAGGAAGGGACACGTAAAAGGAGAGGAAAAGATAAGGAGAGAGACAGAGAGAGAGAGAGGGAGAGGAAGGAATCGGCGAGCGAGAAAACGCGTCGTTATACAAAATGGTTTCGCACAGCGCAGAAGGCGGCGCGGACGATTCAAGATTACATCCCAACTATTTCTTGTCGCTTTGCGTGGCGCAAAAGTGGGAATTAATTAAATTCGTTAATTGCAAGATGCATTTAGCAACGCTGCTGCTGGCTGCGCTCGAGTCTCTCGTCTCGGCGCAGCGTCCGCCGTCGCACGGTGCCTTTTCGTTGCGTCCTTTTCCTCGCGTCACGTCACGAGAATTTAACAAAATAACGAGAAAGACCGAGAGGTCCACTTTTCGCGCGCCGGGACCGTCAAAAGCAAAAGGGGCTCGCTCCGTTCGTGATATCTCGTGTCCTCCCGCGTGTTCCGTCTCCATCTCGACGGGCGTATTCAGTCGAGCGGGGGTAGCCGTGTATGCATTTCCGTTTACGCGCGCGCGTTTACATTGTAAGCTTGATCGTTTAACAGTTTCCTACAGCCTTCCTCATGACGACTAAATTAGACGATGCCGTAGCCGTGCGTCTGTCGTCACGTCGTTACGCTATTGTGCCGGCGCGCGTCGCAATTACGTCGCCGATATCCGTATACGCATCGTACGCGATGCATTTCCGTATCGGCGCCTCCTCCTGGGCGCGCGTACGGGGTATAAACGCCCGTAATAAGGTAACACACACACGCATACTACACACGAGGCGCCGAATTAATCGGCGCGCAAGGGTCAAACTGATCTTCGTTACGTGACATCCGCAGGGCGGCGGAGCGTATGATCGTGGCGCAAACATCTCCCTTGGCGTTCAATCTGACGCTTCGACGGGGATCCGACGCGGGCGCGAACGCTAATTAGACTAATAAGAACGCGTTCGGCGCGTATACTCCGGCTGTTTACCAATCAGATGTTCCCTGGCGAGGTGACGTACACGTTGCGCGCGTTTTGATTCACAGAAGAGGACTTGATGCACGGGGGTGGCGCGGGTATCGGCGGGGGTTCTATGGTCGGACAGAACTCAATATTTGGGTGCTCGGCTGCAGGACACAGCGGGGTTAACCAGCTCGGCGGCGTTTACGTCAATGGCCGACCATTGCCGGATTCCACGAGGCAGAAGATCGTCGAGCTGGCCCACAGCGGGGCTAGACCGTGCGACATATCGCGCATACTGCAGGTCAGCAATGGATGCGTCTCCAAGATCCTCGGCAGGTAAGTCACTTGTCCATTCCTCTCCGTGATCTCGCGGAGTGAAATCGAGCGGCGATGAGAGATCCGATCGCTGTTGTCTCCGTTAGTGGATGTTCCGAACGCACGGGCTGAATCTCGCTACAAGACACGACTCTTGTCTGGAGTATTAGATGTAAATAGAGACTATAAACAGAGAATAGACCGAGCGTGAGGTGCGAGAACTGAAGGGCAAATAGAAAGAGACGGGCAGTGGGCGCCGTGTAGCTTTCTCTTCTCTAGTGAGGGAAGAAGGGGTGTAAGAAAGAGGGGTGTAAGGAAGAGTGGGGAGGAGCGCGCCTTTTCTGGCGTGTGAACGATCGAACCGTTCATCTGTCTTCCCCCACTCATCTTTTACACCCCTCTTTCTTATATCCCACTCTTTCCTCATTAGAGAAAGAAAGCTACACGGCATCTGTTGTTCGTTTCTTTCTATCTGATCTTCACTGCTTATTAGAGGACACGCTCGGTCTATTTTTATCATGTCTATGATAGAGACATCGAACTCGATATATCCAAAGTCAGCTATCTTTTCTCTACGGTGATACTTAGAGCATGTGAGTAAAGAAGTGAGAGATGGAAGATAGGTGGGATAGGTTAGACTGCAAAAGGTTAATCTCAATAATTATAATCTATGCAAAATTATTTTCCCCATAGTTTATAGTTATTCCCCATAATTTATCGTTATTCGTTATGACCCGATATATTAAAGGAGGGATTTTTTCTGTTAAATTTTTAACATACTCCTGTGTTAATTTAACATATTATGTTTATGTTATCTCAACATTTTATATCAATATTCAATATATATAAGTATTAAAATAACACATTTTGTACTTCATTGTCGAATTAACATATTATGGATATCAATTTTGTATTAATTTTTAATATAATATTTCCGTTACTTCTCAACATATTCACCTTGCGTGAAATTAACACAAAAATTTGAACGAACCATGTATTGCAACCATAGAGATATAAGAATAGAGGGAACAAGCCTGTAAGTGGAAGTGATAGAGGCAAAGAGAGAGATGGATGCCGAATGTCCTATCTGTCTCTTTCTAGTTGAGCGCTGTGATTGGTTGTTACAATGAGCCGCCAAGACGACCACGCGACGTCAGGAGGGGAGAAAGCAGACTAAAATTTCGTTTTGTAAATATGCGTGCACATGTGTGTAGAATTAAAATTCGTTAAATATTCGAACGTTAACAAAATAATAATTGGACGCGATTTGTTTAAAAATGAGGCATTGTTTGAAATGCAAGGCGGAGTCTTATCCTGGATGTAACCGCAGTTTTCACTCGTAAGAAAGTACAAATACGTAACCTCAAATAATTATGTGTTATTTTTTCCTACATTAAAAAAAATATGTAAATGTTGTAGGCTACCGAAGGATGTAGATATAAGGCGTAAATGGTTGAATATACTTCAACTACCTTTGTATTTTGAAGTGAAAACAGCATATATTTGCAGTGATCATTTTAGCAATGACAGTTTCTTTGAATTGGATGGAGAAAAATGTATAGCTATATCGTCGTTGGCGCGGCAGCCAATCCCAGCGCGTGACTAGAAAGAGACAGATAGGACACTCGGCATCCATCTCTCTCTTTGCCTCTATCACTTCCACTTACAGGTAGCATATATCCCTTGTTCCCTCTATTCTTATATCTCTATGATTGCAACACGTGAAGTGTGTTAAATTTAACACGAAATTTGTTTACTGTGTACGCTTAATTATTTCGTCGATACTTGTAGAAACTTTCGAATAATTTAGAAAAATAAACTAGAGAGAAACAGGAAAACGAGAATTTATTTGTGTTGAATTTTTCCGTTATTCCCCGCGTATTTGGCGCGACGGTTTGCGCTACGGTTTCGCTCAATCACGGGACATTAAGCTCTCGTTCGATGAAAGATTCCTTCTGCAAAGTATTCCCATATATTTTTCAATAACCATTCCGCACGTTGGCAAAGCTCGTCGCGACGTAAACGCGTCAAGCGAAAATAACGATCCTCCTCTTTCGCAGGTATTACGAGACCGGCTCGATCAAGCCACGGGCGATCGGCGGCAGCAAGCCACGGGTGGCGACAACCCCCGTGGTCAACAAAATCGCCGATTACAAACGGGAGTGTCCCTCGATCTTCGCCTGGGAAATTCGCGACCGGCTCCTGCAGGAAGGCGTTTGCAATAACGACAATATACCCAGCGTAAGTAAGAAACATCATGTAAAACGTGGCTGATGTTCTCAAACGCAACCGTTTGACTTGAAGAAAAAAGGGAGGGGAAGAAGGGAAAAATATACAGCGCGGTAGAAGATGATAATTGATATCAACGAGCTCTTTCTGATCGAGCGATCGACTTGCATTGCGGCACGTCGAAACGAGTCAAGCCGGGGGTGAATTCGAGCGAGCGAGCGAATCGCGAATTCCGGCCCCTCAAGGATGCACGTATCACCCGGCGCGACGCGCGAATAAATTTCCCGTGTCGGCGCCATGCCGGGCCATTGATTGGACACAGTATAAGTTTACGCGTAATCCGCCGTCGACTTATCGTGGCGCGCAGCCGGTCGGGTGTACTTACCCGTCGGATCCGGCCACTCGACCCTAATCAAAGTCTCGTCAATGCGATCGCCTGGGAGGGGTAATCGGTCCATTACGCGGACCTCGGCATTGTCCACCCTCTCCTAGGCGCTGATCGCTCTACCCCCGAAGAATCCTCTCTCCGGTCGTACGTCCGTCTACCAAACATCCTGCCCACTCTCCAGTCGTCCCTTTTCCCGATCGACCGCGCGAAATATCCCTGGAGGTCGAATCGTCTGGCTTCTCCTTCGAGAACACCCTCTCCGACAACACCCTCTCCGACGGCACCCTCTCTCTATCGGCCGGCCGTCAGGAATACCGAGGGGGATGGCACGCGTACAAGTCGTTATCCATCGGCTCGTGGGTCTCTCATGCCGGTGCGCTCGCAGAAACTGCCGAGGATGAGGAAAGTCGACGGGCCGATGACGGGGGGTTGCAGGGTGATCAATCAGAACCGTCTACCGTGCGCGCTCCTCTCTTGTCGTCGAGCGTGTCCGCCGGCGGGGTTGCGTCTGAGAACGTCACTCCCGAGTGATCCTTACCTCAATAACCGTTTCGATGCTGACGCATTCTTTTTTTCCTCAAGTTGAATTCTCAAGTACGCTCGTAGGCTGAGTGTTTCGAAATTTTCCCGAGCTTTCCACGACGAAACTCCGATTCCAAAGTCAACGCATGAAATCCGATTGACGTAATCGGAGTGAACGAATCAGGAATGACTCTATAGAGCTGCCTCCGATACACACAGTCCGAGAATGGGATAGTAGGAGAGGCGAGGGAGGAACGGTTGCTTTCCGAACTTTTTCATTTTTTTTCCCTCCGATCGTCTCGATTTTCTTTCGACTACCGGTGGATCGCCGGTGGTGTCGGCGGTGGCGTTGGCTGTTGCGGCGGGTACACATCGTGTCGGGGGCCGGCGACGGGGGTGCGACGGGGGTTAGTCGGCGGCGAGAGTGGACGGGAGCGGGTAGAATCAGGGTGAATGGGATCAGTTAAGCGTGTTGCACAATTATTCGTGTCCGGTCGCGCGTGTAATGGCCTGCATCGGCGCTGCGGCTGTTGTGCGGCGAGAGTGGAGCGGTACGGCGGGATCTCTCTGTCTCTCCCACCCCTCTCCCTCCCCTCTCTCTCTCTCTTGCAGCATCCAGACTGGATGGATGGTCTGATGACGGAGAGCCTCGTCCAGGTTAGCCGGGGCTAACTCGTCCCGAAACGTCGCTTCCGCTACGCGCCTGTTATTATCTATCGCGGCGTCGGGACGAGCCGAGACGATGGGAATTACGTATGCTCGATGTGCTCCGGCCGTTCGATGAGGTCGTCGATAATCGTCGATAGAGACGAGCTCTCGCGGTGGATTGAATTCAAACGAGATCCGCGTCTACCAAGCCTCTTAACCGTCTCCGTCACATCGTTACGTCGGAGTGTTTACGACGCGGTTTCGCCACGGCGGCGAATCCGTGGTAGCGCGCGAACGATGACGCGCGTCACCCGTCGAACTCTCCCGAGTCCCTTCGTTTCGAGTCCGCCGTAATAACCGGCCGTGCGACGCATTGTGCTCCGACAATGATGGCGTTCTCTCTCGCCAGCGCCATTATTCGGCCGGTTTTCAGTCAAACTACGCGAGAAGGATCGGCTTTGCGCGCGCTCGCGCAGAGGCCCCCGGTGAGAGCTCTCAGTCGACCTCCGTAATTAAGAAGCCGCGCTCGATATCCGACGTCCGCCGCAATAACGACGGTGTATATCCGGTCGCTCGTGCACCGACGTCGATTGCAGCACCGGGTGGAGGAGGAAGGGGTTAGCGCGCGTATGGAGCGCGCGCCGAGGACCATTATGTACAAGTCGAGAGAGAGAGCGCGACGCTTGGGTCTCCGCACTACGTCAGCTCGTTATAACTTCGGAGTTAGCCAGTGGCTCGGTCGTGGGCGCAAGATGAAGACGAGGACGAGCGTGCTCGCGTTGGGGGAGACGAAGAGCCGTGGAGACCGTTTTATGTAATAATAATTGGACGGCGGTGTCCTTTCATCTGCGCGGCAAGACGAAAAAGAGGAAGAAGGATCCGTATGGGGCGGCGAGGGGCGGACAGTCGGCGACGACGACGGAAATGATTCTCGTGCGACGCCGACGACGACGAGTGGTTGCGGTCGCGAAATTTTACAAAGGCCCGCGCCCCGCTGCGCCGCTCCGTTTCGTCTACCCTTTCCCTTGATCCGACGCAAATGGATGACGAAGGTATCCCCGCGCATAGGAATACATCGCGGGTCATTAGTGATGGTTAAAGAGTCTAGGCGAGTCGGGTTTTAGATTTACTGATTGTCGATCGAGTTATTCGTAGAGCTGTACCGCGAGATGACGAATTTACAAATTACCGTTGAGGACCACACTGAGAGGAAGAAATAGTCGGATCAACGAAATTTGGTTTAAATGAACACAACTTTTCTAAGCGCAACATTTCGCCCACTGAACGAATTGTGTAATTGTAATTGCAACTGTAATGAGTTATCAGTTAATTCAGCGAATGCGATTTAGTCAGCGACTATATCAACGCGACGTATCGTTACCCCAATACGTAATTTCTCGTTAAATGGATGTAACGTTTTTTTCGAACAAGGGTGACTGCCGATTTTGCAGATCCAACCGCTTTTTCGCTCAATGCAACAAAACTGCACGTTTTAATTTCATATTGACACTTAAATAGATCACACCGAGGATTTTTATATTACTACTTATGAAATACGTGAAAAAATAATTGCGGCGCGATTAGCTAGATGAAGATAGAGACGATCAGAGACATTTCGCAGAGCCTTCTCGCGATCCCGGTAGGATTAAACGAACAAGTGGCACCAATTCACCGATTGGTTCTCAGTAGAAATTCCGTCCTTCTCGCAGGTGTCGTCCATTAACAGGGTGCTCAGAAACCTGGCCTCGCAAAAGGAGCAACAGGCGGCCGCGGTGCAGGCGCATCAGGGCGCCGAGAGTGTCTACGACAAGCTGAGAATGTTCAACGGGCAGGCAGCGGGCTGGCCGCCAGCGTGGTATTCGGCGACACCTTCCCATCACCCCTTGGCCACGGGAATTCCAACCGCAACTCCCGGATCCGGCCAGACTCTCCTACCCGGTAGCCAGCTCCACGGGCGCGATGACTCCTTGCTGAAACGAAGCGGTAAGTTTCGATTTTCCTCGCGTCGACGACGGCGAACGCAAAACTTTCGAGGCGATTGACAATGTTCGGTTTTCGAGGCTAATTTCACTTATCGATCGCACTCCATGCTCAAAATTTACTCGTAATCGTCGTCATTGTTTGTCAACACTCGAACGATATTCAAATATCACTATCGCAGAAAATGATTTACCGTAAAAAGGTCGGAAAGTCGAGTTAAACTGTTTGCCTGACACGATACTGGAATTTGGTATCAGTGGTTGTTGACGTGTTCTCAATATTTCGGCGGTCACACATCGCGGTCACTGTTTATTTATTCTCTCTCGTTATATATCGATCTATCTGAGTTTTCTTTATTTCTCGAATAATATTTAACGTGTAAATTAATGTTGCAATTCTAGGCAAAATCGCAAGGTCCGTAAGAACTTATGATTGGAATTATATTTCTGTGTGTATCGTAAGATGTATGATCATTCATAAATACTTACACAGAAAAGAGTGCTAGATTCAAATAAATAATTACTTCAATACTCTTAGCAGATTTATTTTCGGATTAAGTAAATTTTAATTGGATAATTTACTTGGAAAATATTTCACTTGGGTCAAGTGAATATTACTTGATTCAAGTAAAAATTTACTAAGAAAGTATTGGAGTAATTATTTATTTGAATTTAGTACATTTTTATGTCGATTTCTCGTAAATCTTACGGCTAACAAGAAGCTGTCTGTAGATCATAGGGAACATCTCTTAGTAATTGTCAAAAAATATGAATAGAAAATTTTTGAATTACACATAAAACTTAATAATTAGTATATATTTTATTTATTATGTTTATGTAAAATAATCGAATTATCTGTATCTACAAATAAGTCAATTGTTCTTTACGCACAATCACGCGCAAATCTCAAATGACAAGTTATATATATTTAAAATTATTCACTCATCACAACATGAATATGTAACGATGAACGGTACAAAATTACAGTTTACACAAAACTATAAGTCAGATTTTTATGATTGCTTCATAACTACAATTTTACGATTCATTTGTAAGGAGAACTTAGAAAAAAAATCCCGATTTGGTTCCTATTTTGTTCGGGTACTACCGAGCACAATTGAAGCCAGTATCAGATGAAAGACTGTAAAAGAAATTATCATTTGTAATTATCATTTTTAAATTATCATTTTTAAATCTGTCTTGTTCCTTACAATCAGCTCAATTCATCAATCGATGCGCGGCGGCGCCGGTAGTACTCTCTAAATGAGCTAATTTAATTGTGCCTTGTCGTGCCCGAACAATGCGGAAACAGCTGGAAGTCTCTCTTTGTTTAGAATTACAGCATAAAATTGCGAGAAAATCGTGTTTTCTTACATTGTAAATATACGAATGACAGATAGCCGCGGAACACGCGATTATTTCTATAAGTTAGCTCTCACTGAAACGTTATGATCTCGTCTTCGGCAACGTCTTCGAGCTGTCGCATCCTTTCTATGAGCATCATCCCGCGCTCGATTCAGGGGGATCATGCATCGCATTGTATTGCCACCGAGTCCTCGACACCTCGCACAATGCGCGTGCACGCATGCGGTCGAGTGGGGAAAAAGGATCCGTGTCGTGTCGTATAGCGCTATAAGTCTAATAGGATCACGGAAATCGGGTCCGCGGTTCGGCTCTTAGCCGGGATCGTTCCGCGGATGACGAATCCAGATGCGGCCGGCCTCAATAGACAGATTACGTGAGTCGTGGCTGAGTGACAGGTAGAAAGGTGCTCCCGCTTACCGGCGAGTATTCTCAGCGAGAGTCCCGAAATGCATATACCGTTGTCGATACATGCCGTCTCTTTCCGAATTTACCTCGTTTATCGCAATTCAATCATGCCATTTTCATTATTCGGCGAAAATATCAGAATTTTTCTCAAACGTCAGATAAATATACCCGAATCACGGAATAGCGTCACGATGTGTTTCTCTCGAATTAATAACGAAGTTAATTTTTGCGCACGCTGATTAAACGGCGTTTGATCGAATTCACTTTATCGACGCTCCGATGCGTGTGATAATTTTAGATACGTCGTTAGTAATTAATAATAAGTGAGACGCCGGTTTTCGAATGAACGAGCAATTGGGAAATTCGTATGGAAGACGCGCGTTAAACGCGCTGCCACTTGTAGGTTGTGGTTTATATCTCGCTGCTTACATCCAACTGCCGTTGGACGCACACTCGGGTGCACAGGAATGCATCGAACGGTCGATCGCGGCCACTTTGGCCGAAGCGGACGCATTAAGCGGCCGGGTCGTAGAGAGCATCGCCGGCTAATCTCCTCTCTCTCTCTCTTTCTTCGCCGAGCGTGCGTTGTCACCTAGAAAATTAAAGCCAACGATCCGTCTGCAGCGGACCGCCGAGGATCGTCCCTGTCGGTCGTCCTACGCGCAGGGATGTTCGCGAGGAGGCTCGGGGGTGGGTTCAGCGCAACGGAGGAGTACGGAGGGGACGATGGTTAGGGCGAGAGGGCAGAAAGGGAGGAGGCGGGAGAGAGAGAAAGAGAGAGAGAGAGAGAGAGGCGTGTTTGGGGTGCCGGTATTTCTAGTCGAGGGGGTTTCGCAGGGTCGAGTCCAATTGGGGGCTGCGCGGGGGTTGAGACGAGCGAACGAGAAAGCGAGCAGCTGACGAGCGAACGGTATATACATATAATACATATGTACGTACTTATGTACACGAGCATAAGGGTGTATGTACGTATATATGTACACCTTATATATATATATATATATATATATATGTGTATATATATATGTATATACATCTCTCTACTGCCGTACGGAGGGACCGACACGGACATGGCGAAGGTACGGAGGGATGCCAGGAAGGTACCGGGAGGAATGGAAAGAGACAAGGGTGCGGTGCGTGGAGGCGGAAAGTAATCGCGACCCACGGGGGCTGACGAGGGCTACCCTCGGCGCGCGTACGAACCGACGTACCAACACGAGTCGCGACCCCGAAGACCGGTCGCGCACGCCTGGACGCGCGGCGTCGTCCTCGGTATCTCGAGGAATTTCGAGGAGACCGGCGGATCGCGTTACGAGATCGGTCGATTGATGCACGCGCCTACCTCAATTAGACCGCAGTGCTGCCCACGAAGGCAGAAAAAGCCCGCGTGAGAATTCCGGCTTGTCGAATTTGATCGATTGTTCGAGCGAACATAGGCAAGGGGGGGGGGGGGGGGGAACAGTTAATAAGTATTTTAATATCGNATCGCGTGCGTAAAATAAGATCAGTTTCGATGAAGAGTCGTCGATGAGAGGAAGTTAGTTAAGAGGATCCTTGGAGCCGTCCTGTTTCGCCGCCGAATTTGTTACTACACGGTGGAAGTTTGGTTGTATTAACTAGAAAGGGCCATACAATCAGATGCATTTTAATTGAGGAAACGGAATTTCTGATTATAAGAATCACATTTGGATTCACGAGAACCAGAAAATTTGTTTTCTTTAATCTTGTTCCGTACACGGGTTGTTCTTTTCTCGATTAATGCAACCAGATTTTTTTTCGTATGTTATACTCGTTACTGGTTGCGCGGTATTAAAAATTCTTTCGCACGATTACAATGCACACGCTAATGTAGGCGAGAATGATTGACTTTATTTGAAAAATGAAGAAAGTTGAAAAATTATAAAAATTGTTTTCACTTCTTGAAGTCAACTGTCCTCGTATACATTAATGTGTTATAATTATGCGAAAAAAAAATAGTAAATATGTGTATAAATATAGTATATCGTGATACGCAAAAGGATTTTTTAAATTCTGCGCAGCCAGTAACTAATACTAGCAAATTCGCGGTAAAACAGGACGACCCGAGGATCACCTTAAGGCCAATAAGACGATGGACAATCGGCAAGGCGGGCGATTGATTTTTGTTCCAGACACCGGTTCCCTATTGTCGCATCAACAGGAGACAACTTCGGACGGTAATTCGGAGCACAACTCCTCCGGGGACGAGGACTCGCAGGTGCGGCTGAGGTTGAAGAGGAAATTGCAGCGCAACCGAACTTCCTTTTCTAACGAACAGATAGACAGCCTCGAGAAAGGTCAGTACAAAATCCAACCGGAAATCAACTGGTTATCAACTTCGGCGATCCACTCCGGTCATTATACACGGTTTCCCCGGAGATTGCGTGCACGCGCGCGCGCGCGCGTGCTTTCCTCCCGACCGCGAATCCCACGATTCTATTGTTTTTCCGAAGTTATCCATTGGACGCGGATCCTTAACGCAATTCGTCGCCGGTACTCGCGATTTCGCTCGTACATCTCTCACCTATCCGTCGAGGGGCGGCAAACTCCCTCACAATTCGCGATTCGAAGGTCATCGATAGTCCTCGACATCGGTACGAAGCCGGCATTCACCTTCGTTCGCCGGCCTTTGATATCCGCCGGTCGGGAGGAAACGTGCGACGCTCGCCCGGCGAGTTAGGTCGGCGTGGTATCGCGATAATTAATGCCGGCTAAATAACGAGCACTTGTTGCAAACTGGTTTCGTTTCAGAATTCGAGCGGACACATTACCCGGACGTGTTTGCACGGGAGCGTCTCGCCGAGAAGATCGGATTACCTGAGGCACGTATCCAGGTGAGTGTGAATGTGCGAATGCGGCGTGTGTGCGCTTCCTCCACCAACGTGTGTTCGCTCCACCCACCTGGCTCCCCCTCCAACCCCTATGTGTCTTCCTCCCCCTCTCCTCGCGTTTCACCCGGACGCGTCTTTCTCTCTTCTTATTCCGCCCGCTCCTCCCGGGAGGGTCGACCGGTGTAAGTGCGACGACGCCCTTTCATTAAACGCTTTTAACGTGTGACCACGTGGTCGTACGTGGGGAACATTAAACACCTCCGACGAGGCGAGAGCTCCGCTCCGCAGCCGTTCGCGAGCGTTCCCAATGGGATTTTGTCACCTCTTTCGTCCGCTGCCACGCCGCCATTTACATATTCTTATTTGCGCGTGGAATTTTCCCCGTCGACCCGGCGATTTCATCCACTCTCTCGCTCAAATTTATCTCGAGGATATACGTCGAAACTCTTGTGCGACACGATAATATATTAATTACAACAGCGGAAATTTCATACGGGGCTATTCAATAATTACGTCATACCGGTAGGGTGGAGGAGGGGGGGATCTATTAGTTGCGTGACGGTCTGTGATGGCAGGGAGGTGGAGGGTGTTAAGGCTATGTAACATGACATTAAATGATATAACCTGTGAATATGGATGCGCGTAATTATCCACTTTGTTTGCATTCGTGACACATTTGGTTACATTTGTGAAAATTTTTCAGTTTTGTGCTAGTAATGAAAACGTCAATTTTTTAATATTTATTCTTTGAAAAACACAACTTTTACGAGTCAAAATCAAAATAAAATCAAAATAAAATAAAGCAATTAATTTGATATTATACGCCTAAAAGTTATATGTATTTTCGAAAAAGATAGCAGCGTGCGCTATAATAATTATCACTCATAATATGGTTATAAACTATTTTTTTTATTTTACGTGTCGGCGGGGGAAAGTAATTCCACACGTAATGTAATATCGGAAGGAGGTAAATACTTTGTGACGAAATTGTGACAAAGGGAAGAAGGGAGGGGGAATAAAAGATATTCAAATTTAGCGTGACGTAATTGTCGAACGATCCCTATTTTAAATCTTTTTCGTCGGATTCTCTAAAAAGGGGATAAAATTTCTACAAACGGCGAATGCACGTCGAGGCACACGTGCGCAAGTTTAAATGCTCCGTTGAAGACGAGCGTCACGAAAAAATAGTCAACGACGACTGACATTCCCAACAAGTTGGTAAGTTCGATGAAAATTCGAAGAATCTTTGATTACGTCGACGTAGTCAAGAATCATAGAGGGAACGAGAGACAGAGAGCGCCAGCGGACTAGAATTGCGCTCATTTAAATTATAAGATCAGGAAAACTCGCGAAATTTCAGCTCGCGTTTAAAGCGAACGACGCCACCGCAACGACTCTTTGTTCGTATCCTTTCAAAGTTTCCGCGAATTCCCCGTTCCTCGTCGCTTCTCCGCGGAGCAGCCACGCGTATGCGGCGTTTCAAAGGCCGCGGCCGGCATGTCATGCGGGAAAATGTCAATAATCAAATTAAATGAAACGTGAATTTGAATTTCAGCAACAAGTAAGGAGCCATGCGCGGAGGCAAAGTTCCGAAAGACTCCTAAAAGACACTCGAGCGTCCCGGAACGCCTGGATGTTTTTACGGCTCTGCTCACGTTTCTTGTTTCTATTGCACGTTGTTCGAATTCTATTGTGACCGCTTCGAGCAGGATTAACAAATTGCGTCATGAATTCTATCATTGCCAGCGACATCCGCTTCACTGTATAAAATAGTTTCGATAACTGTATCAAAACTGGACGGTTCGGTGAGGGGGGGTTGAAATTATACTTTTATCTGCGCCACGGAGCGTTCTGAACGACGATTAGAACCGCATTATCGTCGGTATTCGGTCGAGTTCTGGTTACGCGTGTAAACGTTTGCCGCTCAACGGCTCTGGATCCGATAACATCGTTCACCTTTTAATCGCGCTCGTGACGCAAAATGTCGCGTTATATTATTATAATTAATATTATAGCGTCAAGAACCGTTAATACGTACGCGGCCTTATCGAACATTGTTTGCTCGCGCTCTCTGTGCCCTCGCCGGCGCTGCCGCCGTCTTTCACCTGCACCGCCGCGACACGAAGAGGCGGGAGGGTCGGCGAAGTGGCCGCCGGGGTTTGGCGTCGTGGTGGTAGTAACCGGGCGCGCTGAGCGTTATGTGGACGTACAAACAGTGCAAGACCATGTTGACGCATGTTTTCAAGCCTCGTTGGCTGGTATTGATCTTGCTAAGTGCAGGAAACCGGGAGTTCCGGCGCGGGAGGGAAAAGGAGAAGTTCGGCGAGGAAGAGCGAGAGAAAGGGAGGACCGAGCGAGCGGGAAAGACCGGGAGAGAAATAGAGAGAAAGAGAGAGAGGCAGACAGAAAGAGAGGACGAGGAAGAGAGAGATAGAAAAAGAAAAGAGAGAGAGAGAGGGAGAGAGAGAGCGGTGTGAGAAAAAGATATAGTCGGCTAGTTGGAGAGGATGAAAGAGGGAATCGGCGGAGATCACCGAGTCGGACCGATCGCCGGACTATCGTCGGCTGGCCGAACGGTCGAAGGGCGAGATATACGAATGGTGGTGGAGGACGAAGAGTGAAGGTGCCGGGCGTTCTAATGGAACACGGAACGCCGCCGCGGCACGACGCGCCGGCATGTAAACGTGGCCCAGCGAGGGATCGCGCGGAAGGCCTAAGAGGGTTCTCGGACGCAACCATGGCAACCTCGAGTCCCGAGGGAGGGCGCCCTCCGATTGGCCCGTTTCTCGCTTCTTCACGTCTATGTGTATATATATGTATATATATGTGTATATATATATATATATATATATATACACACTCTCGGCTACGGTCACGAGATTCGCCACGCCACGTCGCCGGCCGATTATCATCCGCGGCATTTCCTAAGTCGACTCGCGGGCGCGATGGCCGATGCGCGCTGCGCGAGGGATAAAGCGAGGGATTTTTCCCTCGAGCGGCGCGCGTCGAGCAGAGTGGACGCGCAAATAAAGCAAAGGAACGAACGTCGACCGGCCGCGAGAGAGGGAGATCTTCCGTGGTCTTCCGTTAGACCGGTTCGATCTTTCCGTTAGCGCACCCTCTCGCCAGAGGAAGATGTTTGTTTCCCACTCGTCGGCGTCCTTTTCTCGGCCGGAATACATGAGCGAAAGACGTCCATAGTGTATCGCACGCTCCATTAGTTCCCGAAAGCGTCCGCGAGACATGCCGAGCTCTCTCTCTCTCTCTCTTGTGGTGTGCGAATCTCTCCTTCCCTCTCGTACCGCCAGTCGTGGTGTGTCGTGAACGTGTCCACGAAGGTCGGTCCACGGAGGCTTCAAGGTCGGGAAGCAGCGCGCCGGGAAGAAACCGGTTCCCGACCGTTTCGGCCATTGACGATCGCGAGGCATTAAGGAGACCCCGGCGGGTTCGGATCGCGGACTTTCGCACAGATCGATCCCGGCGAGGTTTTCGGGGGAGGACGAGTTTACGAGGGACGATGGTATTGGGCGGAAGGAGCCCGCGCTGCGGGCGAATGGCAGATATTTGACGGTGGGGTGGCCGAACACGATTTGCTGCGCCAATGGGAGGACAGGAGGATGGAATTTATTTTTTGATTCAATCGAGGGGGCCCTCGCCGTGCTCGGCGTTATACGTGAGATTGCGGAAGGCTTGTATTTCTACGTTGATGGCATTTCTTTCCGCTGCGCGCACTGTCCCGCGGCTTTTTTCCCCCGTGTCCGCGCGCGCGCGGTAATTCGTTACACCGAAATCGACAGAAATGGAAATTGCCGTTATTGCTTTGTTCTCGATTTTTATCCGCGCCCACGTGTGCACTGGCACGCAGAAATACGCGCGCGCGCACGGTTTTACCTTTTCGAAAACTCTTCGCGCCGTAATTTCGCGCGTTGGCCGTTACGCTGCGAAATAATTCATTCATTAGAATCAGCTCTCCCGATTAATCATCGATCCGGTTGAACCGCGCGAATAAAGTTTCTCTCTCTCTCTCTCTCTCTCGCGCGCGCGTGAACGATATCCGCCAATTAACACATTGCGTACTGGTGACGAGATATCTCGTCTTTAGCAAGCCGAACGTTATGGCCGGGCGACGAGATATCTCGTTTTCAGGTTTCTTTGACTTAATCGATGACTTAAGGAATTAAAAATCGATTTTCTTGTTACGTTACCAGGGTAACGAAGTCTTGCGCATTCTCGAAACAAATGGTTAGCGAATAAATGAATGCCCTGGAAGCGTGTTGAGCGAGTAGAGTGCCGTACGCAATGCGTTAAGGTCACCATTTTGCCACGCACACGAGTATCGGCAAATTTGTAGCGACATCGTTCGCAACGACGAGACGCGAAGTGCGATCGTAAAGAGAATGGCGTTAAAATATCTCTTAATGCACGGAAAAGACGTGCGTCTCTCTGTATATGTGTTTGTGTGTGTGTGATAACTGCGCGCCCGTAAAATTGGCGTGACTAAATGGAACTGCAGAGCGTATACGCAGCAGAGGAAAAGGTTTTTTACGAGAAAGCCAAATGCACACGGTTTATGGATTGCTGTAAGTGCCGCGGCGAGGGAAAACCGATATATCGAAGGGGACGCGAATCCTCTTATCGCTGAGAGGAATCAGAAAAAACCAGAAAATCCCTGCGAGCGCGGCAAGGAATTTAAGCCTCGATTTATCGTACGAGCTTGCGTCATACCGCTCGGCACGTCACGTATTTGACGCGGCGGGCGGACAATTAGCTTAAATTAGAAAAGTGCTTTTAATTCCACGTATCTGTTTTTTGCCCCATCGCATCACCTCGCTTCAGATATTTTTACATAATCCTGGTGGTACACCGTTGAGGATGCGACGAATCGATAGAATTCAAGTCAATCGACGCGTCGAGAGCCTAATATAGCGACAGGATCCTGTGTCGATATAGTGGAATTTAATTTGTTCAGCGTGGTCGCGAACGCGCGTTATCCACGGCGCGCTCTTTATCGGATATCGAGTTCGACGCGATCTATAACCAGATGCTCGGCGAGAGAGAGAGACGCGTGTAAATGCGCGCGACGGCGAAGGTGCGGCAGGTAGAGGAAGAGGCGGATCGAGAGGGAGAGGCTGCGGGAGAGAGCGAAGGGCGCACGGGAAGGGACCAAGCGAGCAAGAGTAACTCAATTTCCCGTCTGACAACTGCTCAATTGCAATTAACAAACTGGAGAAACGCGCCTCGTGCAAACCCGCGCGCGCGCTGCTGTTCGCGCGAAAAGAGTGTCTGGGCGTTAGATTTTGCGCTGCCGCGGAAGTGCCATGCGAGAGGGTCGGTCGGATAGAGAGGTAGAGGGAAAGAGAAGGAGAGAGAGAGAGAGAGAGAGAGAGCGAGATGGGTGGTCCGGGGAGAAGAGGGTGTTCTCTCCGGAGAGGAAGCGAGATGAGGGGAGATCGTGGAGCGTGAACGAGCGCGAACGAGTGCGAATGCGGACGAGTGCGGATGATACGAAATACCGTGTCGGCGCCGAGTGTGCGGCTGCACACTTATCGTGACAAAGGCACCGTCATTGTGTCGGTTGCAGGTGTGGTTCAGTAATCGCAGGGCGAAGTGGCGTCGAGAGGAGAAATTACGGAACCAGAGGAGGGCGGCCGTCGATCAGGTGGTTGCCGGCGGCAGCAGCGGGGGTAGCAGCGGCGCCGCGCCCCCCGCGGCCACCCCCGCTACGCCACGGTTGCCCTTAAACGCCGGATTCAACGCCATGTACTCGTCGATACCGCAACCAATCGCCACCATGCCCGACACGTACAGGTAGGAGAATTTCGTGATAAGCCATCCGCATTGTTCCTCGCGTCCATTCCGGTACGTAAAAGTTACGCGAGAACAAGGACGACAAAGACGGTGCGCGCGGTGGCTCACCGAACCGAGGCGATATCCCTCGTTGAAAACTGAGATAATTGTTTCCACTTTTTTGTTTTGCCGAGAGCTTTCGTCGTGTACATGTCGCCTTTCATTTGTCCTCGCGATCTTTAACGTCCCAACGTGTGAAACGTCTCAGCGACTGCGCTGAGAAAAGAAAAGTGGTAAAATCGATGAAATGTTGTTTATCGAGCGAACAACATTCTCTCAAGCACGACGTTCAGTCTATTGAACGAATTATACAGTTGCTGTAATGAGTTATCACCTGAGTCGAAATTGTGATGTCACTCGGACGCTCTTAAAGATAGTTTGCGCTTATCTAGACGGCCTGTGGACTAAGATGATGACAGAAACCTACTTTGACGATACTCAATGATACTTTTTCACTTCTCTTTTGAACCTTTAGTTCTACAGATTGAATTTTAACGCTGCCTTCATCGCCCTATGTTAAAGCGAAGACGGAAATTTAAGACATCATCAGAGTCGAAAAGTACGAGTTATATTATATTACTAGAACTGAAATCGAACCTACCTTGCTTAGCTCCTACTATGTTGTAGAATTAAAGATTTAACATAGGGCAACAAAACTTCGACTCGGGCGGTCGATTCAACGATTGCGATTTAATGAGCAACCGTATCGACGCAACGTTGCATTGTCGCGCCAACGCGTAATTTGTTCAGTGGACACAGTATTTTTTTGTTTTTTATAAGAAAGACCGCCGATTTTATCGAATCAATCGCTTGGTTTCTTTCCCATCGTCAGCAGTCTTTGAGACGTTTTCGTCGGTTGCATGTCGCATTTCCGTTATCGTTGTCGTCCAACCGTGAATATCCTTCTCGTTCGCAGCTCGATGTCAAGCAGCCTGGGCGGCTCAATGGGTGGAAGCTGTCTTCAGCAACGTGCCGAGGGCTACCCGGCGTACGTGTTCCACGAGCCGCTTCATTCGCTCACGCAGTCTTACTCTCACGCGCACAGCGCGGCCGCGCACTCGCAACCTCATCGCGGCATCCCGACGTCTCACGGCGGTACCCCCGCGACGCCGGGTGGACAACCCGCCGGCCCAGGTGGAGCACCCTACCAGCCGACGACCTCGACCGCGACCGGTGAGTTTTCATCAGCGCAATAATTCGCCGCGTTTCCCCGCTCCCGGTGGCTTCCAAGGTCACACTCGCCGGTGATTCAGCGTTGCGCCGAAAATAATTCACATCCGCGAGAAGATACTTTCGGTCTCGCTGTGTACATCAAACGTTCCGCTCAATCGGCGAAAGTCAAATATCGAGGCGCTTCTTTGCTTTTAGCCAAGTTTCTTCTCAACCTCGGCCGGTTCATATCGATTCGTTCGTCCGAGATTTCCTTGAAATCTCACTCGCTGTAATTATCAGACGTAGTCTCTCGTACGTGAACATTATACCGGCGGCTGCGGGATCAATTCGTGGCTTTTCAATTGCTCAGATGAGATTTCGAAATCCCCATCGAGGGATGTTCGAGGATCCGACACGCATCGGAAAAACGAACGAGTCCGCGGCAGAAACCAGTACGGGTTTTCGTTTCCAATTTTCGCCCTGCGCTGCTGCCGTTTCTTCCCCGTGCTCTAGCCGGCTCAAAGCGCGAAATAAAGCGTCGAGAATTACCTGGAAGCCTCTTCACACGCAATCTACATAGCCTCGCTATCAGAGAGAGAGAGAGAGAGAGGGAAGAGGGACGAGGGGTGGAAAAGGGTGTAAAGAGCGAGCGAGCGAGCGACGGTCGCGGCTACACGCTCGCCCACGGAATTGTAAAAGGATTTTAAAACAAATCTCGCATGGCGCCGCCGGGCTGAATCGAAGAATGGGATGTTCGGCGGTTTTCCAACCCCGGCGATGTAGCTGGTGAATTTTCCATTTTCTCGGCTCTGTTTCTCCCTCGCTCTCCTCTCCCTTCCTCTCTCTCTCTCTCTGTCTCTTCTCTTCTCCCTTTTTCTAGATGCCGCTTGGCTCCTCCGCTCGGCTATTTCTTTTCTCTCCCGAGTCTCTTTCTCTCAGCCTCCCTTTCTCTCCATCATCCCTTTTCTTCGTCTATCTACATTTCGCTCCCCTCGCCTCCCGTTTAGCGAAAGCCACGGAGGGTCGCGCCTCCTCTCGCAGCCTGCGCCGCCTCGTTCTCTCCCTTTCTCTCACCCCCTTCGCCTTCCATCCTCGGGGGTGCGCTCGCTCCTTCATGTCTATCCATCTATCCGTCCCTCTCGTCGCCCTCCGGTTCCCCTTTCGTCTCTTTCTCCACGTCCGTTTCTCTCTCTCTCTCTCTCTCTCTCTCTCACTCTCTCCCACTCGTTCTCTCTTCCTCTCCCTCCTGAGGATATACAGGGGTGAACAGAGGATGTGGATGGGTTGGGTCTCGCCTCGGCTGGGCGAGCGCTCAATAACGTGCGAACCCAAAGGGGAGGAAATACGGGGGTGCGCGGCGTACCTACAGGAACGGAGCGGAGCGCAAGCCGGAATGGTGGAATACTGCGGAACACGCGCGGTGTGTCCCACCCCCCTCCCTCTCGCCGTCTCCCGCACTCTCTCGCTCTCTTCTCGTGGCCGGCTTTCTTCCTTTCCGCTCTTTCGCCCCCTCGTTTCCACCCCGTCCCTCCCGCGGCCGCTCCTTACGTGCGGAACGAACCGCGGGTTATCCATCATAATCGCTTTACGTGCACGAGCGCCGTAAGGACTTTCACCGCGCTCGTTAGCGCCGCGCCTGTCCCGCCGGCTCTAACGCCGCCGTTTTCATAGCTAAGTAGCCGTACCCCGGAGTTAGCGTCCGACCGCGGAAACGCGCGTAACCGCCCGCCTCTCGCATCTGGTGGACGATGAGCCGGGAGTCGCCGGGATATTCGATTAACTCCGAGACGCGCTCTCTCCACCTCGAGCGTCAAGTTCGTCCCGGGGACTCCTGTGAGACGGCGATTGAATGCGTGCCGAGGTGTCTCCTCGAGGAGAGTCCTGTGTGTTACCGAAAAGGAATGGCGATCCTTACGGAGACGAGCGGTCTGCGAATCGCAAGTCTGGTTCCATATCCGCGGGCGCTTTGAAATTTGATAATAACGAATAGATAATGAGATCCAGCCGGCGCGCTCAATTTTCACGTTCGAAATTCTCAACGCGTTAACCCGCCACAAAGGTGGGCGGCGGCGTGGTTAACGCAATTATGCCACGGCGTCGTCGTCGTTGTAATGCTCGCGAAATCGCCCGTCTTGCATTCACGCCATAATTGTAGCCCGCGCTCGAAGAACGAACGAAGTTACGACGCGGGCTCGCATAGACTCGGTAAATGTTTTCGCTCAAGTTTATATTAGATTAGACGCAGCTCGTTAAGGTGTTTAATTCAAATTGCAGAAGTGTGTGCAGCCGCTCGACTATCATAGCCGAATCCTATTTGTGCGGCCGCGAGCGGCGCGTTTCTCCCGTCGCCTTCCGTAAATACGCGCTCGGTCGTTTTTAGCGAATTAACCGCGTCGCGTTTCGCGCGATTAACGGCGCGCTCTCTTTCCCTCGCGACTCGCAGTCGTCGTCGACGAGTCGCCGCTGAGACGCCATTGGCGCGTCAATGTTCACGCGAGAAATCGATCTGACGCGATGTGTCGGTGTCTCTTTGTTAAAAAATTGCGTCTATTCATATTACGGCAAAATAAAAGAAATCGTTAAGCCTCTAATGGCAAGGTGGATTTTCAACATACTCGGGAAGGTGGGGTCGATCCCGTGCTCTGTTTCGTTCATTTTTCACGTGATCAATATACAAAATGGGTAAAAGAAGTAAGTAATAACATGAAACTTTCCTTAAAAAGAGAAACAGCGCGCGCACGTTGTGAAATAAACGAAGCGTCGGGATCAATCTGATCTCACTTTAGCATTAGAAGGTTGAGTGTTACGACGATGAACAGCGAACGATGCTTGTACAGAAGTAATCACGTTCGATGTCATTGAACGGCGACCAGCACCTTCGCGAAATGAAACGACGATGGGTAAAATCGGCCGATTTTGGCTTCCGGAATGACAAAGAGAAACAGTTTTTTAAACTGCTGAATCTGATTCTTTAAAAAATTTCAACTCGTCGGGGAAGTATTAAAATCGGCACATGAAACTATTAAACATGTAGTACCGTAAAATATCATTGAGCTTTACGAATGCATTCATTCCTGTTTTCCTGCTGGTAAAACATGACAATACTTCTCATCTTTGATAGTTTATATTCTAATCAGCTCACGTCCGTGCACTCTATATAGTGGAACCTCTTATTGTCACACCCTCGGGACCGAAATGTGACTATTTACTTTTTCTCAATGTTTTGTTATTTTCCTTTTCATATATATATATATATTTTCTCCTATGTATAATATATAAATTTCCTTTCATTAAAAAGTATTTCACTACTGTAGTTATTTTACTACTGAAATTTGTAAGATTTACGTAAAAAATATTTCCAAGCACCAAGACCCGCTTTGACCGAACAAAGCTTTCTTCATTCACCAATTTATATTGTTCGCATATCGGTCGATCTTCCTTGAATATTGTTCATTTTATTATAGTTTTACACTTCCGTTAACATACCGTTCTCACAACAGCTTCTTATATATTTCATAGCTCTTTGCTTATTTTAACATTTTGCCGGTAAATTGAAATCCTTTAAAGGTCCGCGTCGGATTCAGCGATTGAGAAACCACAAAGGGACGTGCCGTTTTTATTCGTCACTCCGGGGGTGAAAGTCGCCCCCATTTTACCCATCCGTTCTATCTATCGCGCGTACAGCACGGTTCGATCCCTTACCATCGCCGTACGCCTCACCCGCTCGCAGAGGAAGACGCTTCTTATCCGTCCCGAGCAGTTCTCGTGCGCTCCGTCGCTCAATCCTCCGATATCTCGAATTGTTCCAGGAGTGATATCGGCCGGCGTCTCGGTGCCGGTGCAGATCCCGTCGCAGACTCCGGACCTGGCGGGCAACTATTGGCCGAGGCTCCAGTGATCCCAGCTCTTCGGGTTCCCGCCCGCGAGCTTGCTCGTAGGCCAGGAGAGCCCGCCGCCGCCGAGCGCCACCCCGGGCGCGGTGCCTCGACCGCTCCTCGCATCCCTTGGGATACCGACGCAGTCGACGCAGCATCAGGCCCCGAGCACACCGGCGACCACTCCCGTGCACAATTCCGACACCAGTGAGTGAATCAACTGATTTTCTCGTGCCACGTGCTCCCCTTCATCGCGGAGGAAGAGAGAGAGACTCACCTCGTTTACCTGAGAAGCAGGTCGCGGTGTCTCGCCGACGGCGACGCGAGCCGTCGCCCACGACGAGGTGGAAACGCGGAGGAACACCACGAGGGAAGGCAGGTTCGCGCGTTCGACGCCGTGATCGCCGTCGTTCGAAGACGCGCAGTTAGCGCTTCGGTGGTGCGCGGGAACGAGCCCTGTGAGTGGCGCAAGTGCTCGGGATCACCCTCCGTTGTCTCTCCTGTCTCCCGTAAGTTGAGAGAAGCTTCTTCCTTCGCTTTCGGTACCGTCGCTCGCGCGTCGCCGGAACTCGCCGATTTTCCACTTCAGCGAAGTTCTCTCGTCGGAAGCGAGCGTCCGTCGAGTGGCGTGTATTTTAACGAGCGACGCAGCGCGCGAGCGACGTGCCCGCTTCGCGATGACCCGATCGCGGACGATTTATTGTATTCGATCGTCCGCCGGAGGTAACAGCGAGCTAACACACTCGCGCCGCGACCGCCGATCTTCCCGCAGGCCGAATCAACAACTCGCGTCCTCTCGAACGTTTACGACCGTCAATTTTCTGAAAGGCAATACACCTATCTACCACGCGAAACTATTCGATTAGGGTAGAAGCATATAGGATATAGGTTCTCCTTCCCCCCCCGCCCCTTCTTCGACAATTTGTAAGTTTGCCGACGCCCGCATTGACGATCGTAACGGAACGTAGCGGCGTAGCGAAATTTTTGCGCGAGAATGGCGGCGGCCATGTCTCGTCGCAATTAAGTTTCCCTCTCGAAATCGAACGAAAATATTCTCTTTTCTATTTTACACCCTCGTCCCCTCCTCCTCTTTGACTAACAACCCGGTTACACGCAGAGCGGAAAACTTCACGCGGACGGCACGTGATCGATTTTTGCAAGCCGATCGACATTTACGCATCTTCCACTCCGTGTCTGATCTAGATTTCGTAGATGTATACGCATGACCCGGGTCACGCAGGGTACTCACCTACTCATGAGAACACGCGCGAACGATTTGCATCGGCTGTCGTCGTTGTCGGGAGAAAACCCACGCGTGAAAAATCGCGAGACAATCGTCGTGAAAATTCACCCATCCATCCCCCGGAGGACCTCCCCATCCGCGGAAAAAGAAACGGGACGAAGAAATCCTTGGGGCGAACGCGGCGAAGGATTCCGATTCGCCGCGCGCACGCCGATGAATTTGTTTATTTATTTCTTCTTTCCGCCACCAAGACGAATCTTTTTAACAAGCGCGACGCGCGGTGAAGTTATTTTTCATTTCATTCGGGGCGCGCGAGCGCGAATCCTCCCCTTTTCGGTTTTTCCCGAAAGTCGATCGATGTCAAGAGCATTCATTAAATTTACAGCGGGTTCCCGGTTTTTCGGGGGTATCGGGCAGCTTTATTACCGGATTTATTGGATACCGCCGGGCGCATATTGTTTGCCGCACGTTGTATCGGTTTCCGGCAAATATTTTCCTTCGTGTAAGGGCGGCCGCGAACCGCGTGGAAATTGAAAGGGAGCCGCAGACACGTAGGCAGCCCGCCGGCTCCCGCGCGCCCCGAAATATATTCTCGCGAGAGTTTAGGGCGTGCGGCGGCGGAGGCGCGCACGATGAGGCTGATTTCGTTGCGGGAGGGAACGGCCGGGGGCTGATAGGCTGCCCTGGAGGGTGGCTTTTTTCGGCGAAAGGCCGGCCATCGTGTCTGCCGGCAGATATGGCGCCGGAAGACACCACTCTCTCTCTCTCGAGAGAGAGAGAGAGAGGACGCGGTATCCCTCTGTGTCTGCTTCTCCGTGAACGGCGAAACATCGATCGGCGAAAAGTACCCGGGAGAATCGTGTCCCTTACGTTCGCAGCGTATTTGTAATTTCATACCTCTTCTCTTTTTCTTCCGTGAACGGTAAAAATATCACACGCACACGTACGTACTTTATCGATATCTACGACGCGCGTCGTAACTTTAGTGATTTTTCACGCGCGGGTTCACGTCGCGTTTTCGCAAAAATGCAATCGCGTGCACGCGTCACGGACTACACTGTATTTAAACCTAATCGAGATCGGTGTGCAGAATCTATTGAAAATAGCAATATTATCGGTTTTCCGATCCTCCTCGGCGTAGCGTCGCGGATAGCGTTCTTTTCTAAAGCTCGCGCGAACTGTTCGCGCGAGCCGGACACAGCCAATCGGAAATGATTCGATTGAGAAAATCCTTGTTTAATCAATAATACACGTCACTCTCGATACGTACGAACGATCATCGGCCGCCGATACTCCCGGTCCGCACGATACACGATTCTAGATTAAGACAATCCGTAGCTTGTATCGTCGTTATTACCGTAATGAAGGCACGATGAGCTCGCGAGGAGTGAACCGACGTAAACGTAGTGAGACCACGCGTCTCGTATAGGCGTTACGATAAACTTTCGGAGGTGGCCAAGAGAGTGAGAGAGAGGGCATGGGCGTTCGCGTCGGTATTTATCGCTATTAATGTAGACGTATCGCTGAGATGAGACGGACCGAAGAGACGGATTCGTCCTCCTATGCCCGATGGCGATTACATTGGTGCTCGCAGTAACGAGGAATCTTCGGGAATCGGCACCGGGAACTCGTTAATCGTCGCCGCATACACGATCGAGGCGCACACATACACATACACACACACACACACGCACGCAGAGACCCTTTCGATTTCGCTGTATAAAAGTGACTGTAAGATAGCAAATTTGTTACTCTCTCTAGACCAGATACTGTAAATTAGAGATAATTACCGCCACCGTTGTATATATATATACACACACACACTCACGTAGATAAGTATCAGACGAATTTCAGAATTACGTTCGAACGTATCCACCTTATAAACTACGCAACATCTTATCCGTGTATTCAATGTTTTCCCTTTCATCGAAGTGACGACTCCGTCACTTACACCGTGCAGCAGCAGCAGCCGCAGCAGCAAAAGCAGCCGCAGCAGCCAAACTTCAATAAAATCGAATGATCTGAGCCTACATTTATTCACCCATCAGTTCGCAAATCATAGTCGAGCGCACGAGCTTTCGTTTCGTAGACGAGTTTCGGAACGAATTTCGCAAAGTAAAGTAAATTATCAACGAGGATGCGAAAGGAATCGCGATGTTTCCATCCGATACGTCCGTGCGTGTGAAAGGATCGTTTCGCTTTGTGAAACTGCAATATTTCTTGCGCGAAACAGTCGTGCGATGAAATTTTTACGACAAAATTATCCGTGTAATCACAAAGTTAAATTCGATGATATTATTCGCGATAAACAAAATAATGGCATAGCTTTGAAATCACAAGGAGAGATACCGCCAACCACCTGTGCGGCCTTATCGGGATTTCGACCGAGGTGAGGGGGAGGAAGGGAGGGAGGTTGTGTATGCGTGATCCATTTAATCGATGCATTTCGATCACTATCTCCCGGGGTTGCAGCACGTTTTTTAGTAATTGAGTCGCGCCGCACGATCGCGTCGAATAATTAGTCACTGATTCGTAGGTGTGGAAAAAACCGTGCGAAAACAGCGACTCGATATTTTCGAATTTTATCTCGTTCCGGAACTCGACCGGCTCTCTTTTTTTTTTTTTACCGAAGGGCGGCATATATCCGATATTTCTCGCGTCGCGATATTCCGAGGTGACTCGCGCGAGCGCGGTTAACTCTCTTCTTTTCTCGCGACAACGCGCAAAACGATCGTTTCATCGACAATGCTGACGCGCCGTAATAAATGTAGGTGACGAACGCACTACGATTAATCAGCAGCCAATAGATAACCGTGAACGATATAACGTTGTGTTAAACAGTATCGTGTGAAGCATGTAAAATTACCGCCACCCGGAGCAGTGTCGCTCTCGTTTCTCGTCGGCGTTTACACGGTCACGTAGGGCCCGTGTAAACTTGTTGAACGTTTGTACGCGAAGAGCACTTCACGGGGGAATGTACTGTACATTAGTGTAAATTTATATTTTTGGATGAAAACACACGAAAATAAAAAGCAGCGTGCGTGAGTCGTGCGCGCGCGCGCCGGAAGAATCCTCCGGGTGCAGCCGGAGAGCGCCGCCATAGAATCGATCTCGCGATGATAAACTTTAATTTCGAGACTACCTTCCTTTCAATATGCCAGTGCCACTTCCTTGTTATGGAAATTTTCATTGCGTCTAAGGTGCGAAAGGAAGAGGAAAAGCTCTTTTTCAATGCTAAATTGTAGATATATTTCCTTCACGAAGTCTTTCATGAGACGAAATTCGTGTGTAGAATATTTTCTCTCTCTTTTTTTTTTCTTTCTTTTTTTTTTTATGGCGTTAAACTTGTGAGATATTTTACAATTTTGTTGTTTGTACGAAAGTGCCATATTATAATTTCGAGTAAATGAGAGATAGAGGAGAACAAATTGTCAGATGAAAACGATATACGAAGCGCCGGAAATTTCGGAGAATCCACGAAATATTGCGACCTGTCCAAATATTTTACAAGTATGATACATGCAGGCGTATCTCCTTCGATACTCGAAGAAAAGGTAACGTCGGATTATCGGGAATAACTGAAATATAAACCGTGGTAACCGTTCATCGGTGTTCACACAGTGATTATTCGAAGAAGCGCTCTAAAATGAATTCAATATACGCGCTCGCTGTATACGTAGTCGCATACACGTCTGCATGAGGGATTCTCCACAAACAGGCGCTGCACTTGCAACTTGCAACAGGCTGTGTATTTCGCGAAGAGAGTGGATTAAAGTAATTCTCATTTATTACGTTACCTTTGTGAATCTACGTTTGCACATAGAACTTTTGCGAAACCGAACCGTTACCGCGCAATTTTATGCATGTGAAATACGTGCCGACGGAATTATGCTTTAATCGTCTCACACACATACACACACATACACACACACACACACACACACACACACAATCGACACGACGCGGAAGTGGTTACGCGACTTTCTTATTATCTGTAATAATACTACTAATAACGACTACAGTGTATGAGTATTAACAAATTTATTAATGAGAATAATATATTATTGCGACAGTAATCTATATAAGTGTTGTGAATAATGAGATAATATTGTTGCTGTGATTAACTTTAAGATTGTAAGTAGTAGGAAATAGAACCACTGTTAGGTGTCACTGTCTCGACTCAATAAATGTTATTTCATTTTAACGCCAAATCATCATTCTTTATTCATAATACGCAGTTATAATATATTCCACATCCCATATGGAAACATAATACGTATACGACACGTGCAAGCTCTTACAAAGTAGCAGCATGAGAATAGAAAATTATCACCATAATGGAAAATATCACAACAGTGACGCACAACTATATATGCTTCATATAATACATGCGGTGTTTTTTCACACATCTTAATACGATTTCCTAATAACGAGTTACATATGCAGAGAGAAAGATACAGGTAGCAACATGCTAACGATATTGCGAACGATCGAAACAGTAAAATTAAATGTAAAGTTTTCTATGTTATCATCGTTGTGTATCATTGACAAACTTACATTCTAAAAATATTTTAAGAAAATATATTCCCACGTAATCTCGCGTAACACTTTAAGAAAATATCACATCTCAATATTTGGCACGATATAATGTGTTGATACATATGGCATATATTTATCGGTGTTTGTGTCGATAACTAAAATATCGGACAAACTAAAATCAAGGAAAAATAAGAGAAACGAAAATGAAACGAATCACTAGAAATTATTATATATTATTATTATATATTATATATTATCATTATAATTACTATATATTATATTATTATAGACATTCATGTCAGTTCGCTTAAACAAAATAAGATAATAACCAAATATATAGGCGATTCGGTTTACACATCTGCACGAGGAGAAAAAAGGTAAGATTATTGAT